GTTCCACGTCAGTCTGGTGCTCATTTGCTGATCCACACTGCATTCAATTTGGTGGCAATAATGCATCACAATGTTGTTTGCCAACCACGACAAAAATCAGGCAGAAAAAAAGAAATTCTAACATGGGACCATTTAACGAGAACATGAGAATGGGGCAGGAGTTGAATGCCATTTGACAAGTTTTTGTATTTTTTCAAGGAAGAATCCTAGAATTGTGGGCAATGCCAGGTCTCCTTGTACAATCTCTCTTCATGATGACAATCCATTGTGTTATCTTGAGCAGTCGATGCACTCCCTATGAATACAGTTTGTGCAGTCACCAATGTTTGTCTGCTCACAAGTCCATGCGGAGATGACTTACACATCACACAGACCAAAGCTGGGGGTGGAAATGGGTCTTAAGACCTACTGGAGATGTCGGGGATTGAACTCCCTCCAACATACAAACCATTCACTCTACTTTTGTAAACACTGAACTACAAGTAGCACACATTGTTGGCAGGATTCAAACCTGCGCGGGGAGACCCCAATGGATTTCTAGTCCATTGCCTTAACCACTCGGCCACAACAACTGTCCACAGTGTCTTTTTGTGTGCACAGGTCTCAAAGAGCAGTTTCTGAAGCTCAGAGTGAACTGCTCCACTGTTCCCATCCTGGCAGTGTCTGACTCCACCTTTAATTCCCAGTTAATTCAAAAATGGTCCAAGAGAAGGGGCATGTGTTGAGCCGAGACTTCAGTCAATACTGGTTTGTGGCAAGAAACACACACCTACCTGTCACTCAAAGAGACCATGCCCTCATTTCTGCATAACTTTGGTCCTTAATAAAATGTAAACAGGTGAGTTATATAATCAGTTGTTATGAAGGAGTAAATTATCTCTATAGACCAAAACTGTTTTTGTACCAGGCTGTAAACATGTTTATTTCTGCTGTAAAGTTGTACATTTTAACATGGGAGTCTGTGGGGATTGACTCACTGTTGGCGCCAGTCTCTAGTGGTCATTAGAGGAACTACAGCTTCTGCTTCCTCAGTGTTGTCTTTGTTGGAGAAAAAAGTACAGGTCCTTGCAGAGTGAAAGTCTGGACCTCTTCACCTACACTTAACTTTCTACTAAACTGCACTTTTACTGGAGTCAAAAGAGATTCAAAAAAGAAGTCACTGGAGATGATCAGAGTCCAATGCAATAGAATTTATTCTTTCACAAGAACAAAGGCGAGATCAGTTCTGGGTCTGACCAGAAGACCTGAAGAGAAGAGTGCCTGTGCATCACCATATATAGTTCCTTCTTAGGTAGGTTCTCCACCTATTTTCTAAAGCATACCTATCAACGCCATGGGAACAATGGTGTCCAGCCCCACGTGGAATTTCCCCAAACCAGGCATGCCAGGGTATAGTAGTAGTGCCAGGTGTCCAAAAGCTTCCTATTTACCTGCAACCTAGGTCTCCTATCCATCCTCAAAGGTTTCTATCATCCTAAACCTAGCGATCCTATCTATCCTCAACTTGGGCCTTGCTATGGATGCTCTCCAACACCATTTTTTCCTTGGCCTTCAGACCACTTTTTTTAAACTTAATTCCCTCCAGGTTCCATTCAATAACAATCCTACTCCAGTAAAGGCTGGTCCACATACAAATCTAACCCCAGTTTAACATTTAATATATTAATAATTCGTTGTATATTTTAATAAAAATTTACTAAAACAGTTTCATTTTTCTTACTTTTCTTCTTTCTCTGCTTCTTGGGTTCGACCCGTGAGAACTCATTAATGTAGTTCATGAAGCTTCTTGCTAGGCTGCATGTGATCACCTAAAGTTTGGGGTCCTGATCAGTTCCTGTCAACAAGAAGGCACTGACACACTTTCTATGTCCTTGGACAGCTGCACACCGGACCACGTCAGTCTGGTGCTCCATGCATGTGCATTTCCTGATCCACACTATTTCAGTTGTTGGCAGTAATGCACCACAACATCATTGCAACATGGATCTAATAAACGTGGGCACCAGTTGGCGTGCAGTTTGTGTCCTCACTAACTTTTGGCTGCACACGGACATCCACGTGGAGACAACTGTCACATCATTAGGACCAAAGTAGATGATGTTAATGAGCCTGAAGACCTACTGGAGATGTTGGAGATTGAACCCCCTGAACATCCACTCTACCATTGTAAACACTGAACTGCAAACAGCACATGAAAACTAGCATCCGTTGTTGGCAGGATTCGAACCTGCGCGGGGAGACCCCAATGGATTTCTAGTCCATCGCCTTAACCACTCGGCCACAACAACTGTACCCAGTCTCTGTTTGTGTGTCCACCTGCAGTAGTCATAGAGGAACACATTTCTGAAAGGAAATCCAGGAGTTGGACAGTAAAACTGCGATGGCCGGGAATCGAACCCGGGTCAACTGCTTGGAAGGCAGCTATGCTCACCACTATACCACCATCGCTTGGAGGAGAGAAAAGTTTGTTGGTTAGCCAGGAGTTAATGTTGGTGGAGGA